CGCGTATGCACGTACTCGTACGGGTACGATGCCGGCATATCCGCCACACAGGCCAATCCCCCACGCGCCTGCTGGCCCTCTCCCCCCCCCGGGCACACACCCCGTCCGTCTCGCCACGAGCCTTGTCAACAACCTGACCCATGCTTGGCGCCTGTCAACGCCAAACCCCTCACAAGCAGCGGCCGCTCCAACACACTCCCAATCAGCCTGCCCTTCCCTCCACGCGCCTGTGCTCCCCCCGTTGTTACACACTGCTGGGTGGATTGGTGCCAAGAAAGGCCGAAAGAGAGTGGGAATTCCGAGGCGGGCCTTGCAGCCAGCCACCAGGTGGGAACTTTGGCGCCTCACGCCGTGAGACTGGGCGCCCGCTGGGCTGCATATCCTCGCGCCGCCACCAACGGCTGGCTAGGAATTCGCCTAAGTCGTCGGGATCGGCCGTTTTCGACGATCTGTTCGTGCGCGTGTCGTTGTCACGAGCTCAAACCCGCCGCGCCCGACCGGCCTATGAATCCCCGCTTCGCCGATCAGCCAACGGCCCCTTTCCCGATCTTGCAGCGCGTCTCGGGCGCCTCGAGCGCCATCGTTGGCGGCTTCACCATCCCCGAGGTGCCAGAACTATCCCGACATAGGCCGAGGGGTCTGCCGGAGCGGCGAGCGGGATGGACAGAACGCCACGTGGGCTGCCGCCGCCAGGTAAGACCCGGATCGCCCCATTGCGGAGCGGCCGGTGAAAAAGCCGGGAAGACGTTTCCCGCGCCGCCCGTCTGAAGCTCTCCGCCGGTGGCGGGTGGTTCACTCATATCCCAAAACCCCCGCCTGGACGCCGTTTATCTGGCTCAGGCCCCACCGCTTCTTCCCAACTTCCGTCGCTCAATGCGACCCGGCGACACGCGGACGGCCGCATCACCGCGTTGCCGGCGCCGGGGGCCCCCGCTCCAACCGCTGCAAGCCTCGCAAAGCGCCGGTTCCCAGGTTCCCTTTTCCGACATCAGGATTTCGCCACCGACGCGCGGGTCAGCCGTGCTGTCGATCCTCTCACGGCTTTTTTAGCCCCTCTGCCCGTGGTCTCGATCGGTGATCCTCCGCCGCTGCTTGCCGCCCGGCTGACTGAGACCATGATCGCTTTCTGGCTGCCATGCTTGCTCTGGAGCGCAGAAAACTATTTTGGGCATGTGAGCACTGAAGGCTTCTCGGGCACGACGCTAGGTCACGGAATGCTTTGCGTGGGTTGGGCGCTTCGCTTTTGTGCCGTTGCGAACGCAGCCACCGGGTGGCCGTCGGTCGATGGGCACCATGGCCGCTTCTTGCGGCCACCCTTCCTCGGGTGCGCACCAAAAACATCCTGGGTCACGTTGGAGCAGCGGGTTGCTCGCGAACAACGCGGGGTCACGGCATGCGCTGCGTGGGGGGAGCGCTTCTTTGCTGCGCCGCTGCGGGCGCGGCCACCGGGCGGTCGTCGGCCCGCCTGGGGTCCGCTGTCCGTTGGGGATTGTGTTGGACGCCAACATGGCGGGGCCGTGGGCTTGCGCTTGCGGTTGGCAATGCGAGTGCGAGGGCTGTGGCGTGGGGGTGGAGAATCTCTCGGAATCGTATCGCGTGAATCGTATCGTATTGTGTCGTATCCAGCGACACAGCGCAATTGTGCCGTGAATGGCTGTGTGTAGTAACGACAGCAGCATATGCACATGCATGTTGGTAGGTGAACTGCGTTGTTGCTTTTGTCAAGGCGCATGGCAAAACAAAGCCTGGCTGTGGTCGTGATGCCTTCTGGTGGGTCATGTATGGCGGGTGTAGCAAGGACGGTGACATGCACATCTTTGTCATAACACCGCCTGTGGGAAATCTTCAGCAAAACACTGCCCTTGTTGCTGGGGCTGCTCGGTTTGTTGGTTCCTTGGCGGGACCTTCAATGCCTCCGACATTGCACAAGCATTCCCGATTTTGCTGCATGAATGCGGAGAGAACGGAAAATCGGATACGGATACGGATACGAGATGAACTTCTGCAAAGAAGAAACAGGACAGTCTTGTGAGCACAATGGGCGCTGTTGCTAAAGGCTGTGAGCTGGGCACATGTCACGGAAAGGACACTGCTTTGAAAGTCATGACTCATGCCGCAGGTCCAGGTCGACAAGGGGCGCGGGCCACATTGGCCCAAACTGGCCTTCCCTGCAGATTGCCATCAAAGTTGTCCTGCGCCTGTGAATCGCACTGATAGTTGTCCATCCCTGGAAGAGTTGGGCGAAAATGGCGGGAGCCTTGTTTCTGTCAGCTACTGTCTGCAAGAGCTAGCCTATCTGCTCGGTTTACGTTCTGACACACAATATCACTGAGTAGAATCAGCAGTCAGCAGCCGGGCCGCAGTACTTGCACGCTGAGTTCGCGCTCACATGAAGCAGGGATCCACAGTACTGTCCACAGAGCGCCCGATCGGTGAGGCCACCTGCGAGGGGGTCGATGGGCAAAGCATAATGAGCAGAAATGGCCCCCCAAGGGGACGTAGGCAAACCAGACAGTTATAGAACCTGGGATTTCCTTTCTGCTTTTAAACTCCATCAACAACATTATTTTCATGTTGTTTGATCAGGGCACAAGGATGGCAAAGCGAAGAACCACTGTGTCGATTCCGCACAGGACATGTCCAAGGCGGCCTTGGCGCGCATGCAGCATTATCAGGCCAATCTTGAAGAGAGGATTGCCAAGCTGAGATGCCGCACTCCGGTGAGGCCCATCAGTGTTCCTGGCAAGCACTATTATTGAACATCTGTACCTTTTCTACATCAAGTGATTAAAGTGATGGCAAGACTAAACTGCTGCATGGTGTCTAGGCAGTTGCCTCACACTGCAATATGCGCAGATGTTCGCCACCCTCTAAAGATCTGCACATTTGTCTTGTCTTGGATATCCTCCAGTCACATGTTTGTATCACTGAGACACTATTGCACATGTTCACCAGTCGGGGAAGGGATGCAAGGGACATGCCAAAATTGATGCCCTACCCTCCGCTGATAACTGCTTGAAACGCACCAGGGGCTGAAGGACATTCTTGCATACTGTGCTAAAACACCTTGCTGCTTGGAACGCTGGCTGTGCACAAATTCCTCAATTGTGCACACGAAGTGAGATATTTTGCAATTTCATTTGTTGAAGGACATCTGGCCTGAGCAAGGCTGGGGTGGTTGAATAGGGAAACTTGGAGCCACCGGGCAGCGAAACGAGCAGTTCTTTTGGCAGTGCTTTTGGCTGAAGCTGTTCACAATTGTCTTCACAGGGCATGACATCGTCGATGTCAGAGCTGGACAGCATCAAGCACAATAATAACATGATGACCTGTTTAAGGGAGCACATGGCAATTGCAAGAGACTCACAGAATACCAAGAACATGTCAAAGGAGCCCAGGGACATCATTAGTGCCAACTTTGAACGCCGGAGGCAACTTCTGAGGGAACCAACAAAGAATGCAGCAGATACAACAGATGCTGCCTCTAAACTGTGCAAATCCAGGAAGGAGGTGGCACGTATAGTCAGGTGCTGATTGGAGATGTTTAACATGTGCACAGTAGACAGCCAGTAAGCTGGCTGTTCAACTGCCAATATGGTCCACCACTAAGTTGTCATGAGTTGGTCAGCAGATCTTGACCCCCTGGGAAGCTTGACATGCATGCCTGTATTTGACTCTGCTGAGTGTTGCATGGAAGCTAGTGGACATGCAAACGAGTGCGCAATTCTCTGCACAGAAAAATAAGGTTCCTGGGCGGTGCGCACATCTGCAGGTTAATCAAAAGCATAACACGCAAGTGGGACGTGGAGCTGACAATCGACACAATCATCCCTGGGCGGTACAGGACAGAAGACGAACAGTACCTGCAGAATCTGCTGTCCTACATCATCAAGGGTGAAAGCTGCGACCTGGGGGATGAGCTTCTGCTGGAGGACTGGGACGAAATACGGCACCACCTCATGAAGGGCCTGCAGGTTGTCAATGAAGTGTGTATTTGAATGGTCAACAGAAACACCCGAATATAGTTTTTATTTCTGATTTCATCAAGTGCCGATTTCCGAAGTCACTGTTCTGGGTGTTCAGCTGTTCAGCCCTGATGTACGCAAGTGGAATAGAAACGTCACTGTGCAGTCGCCTTCATCACAGGGGAATGCAGTGCGATACAGCATGTCTTGGCACTCACCTGTCACTCATCAACCTGGAGTCAAGTGTCATTTTCGATTGTTTTCCCATTGAACAAGCATGGGCAACAGAACACTGGCACTCCACTGCTGCTGGCAGGCCATTCCTTGATATCTGTTCGTTGCTGATCACAGCATGACACGCAGATTCTGGCCACCCCAGGATGGCGAAATTCGGGTGCCAAGGTTTTATTAATGCGAATTGGTGGTTTTGGCCCGAGCAGGTCATCAGCGATGCGGAGGCTGCCAAGGAAAAGAGGGAGGCAGGAGGAGAGGGCTCCACCTATGAGGCCAAGATGCCACGTGACAGGGTTGTGGTGAAAAAGGTGGCAAAGGGCAGCTCATGATGGGGATCTAGTTAGCCCTGGTTCAGAAGCATGCCTTCCAGGGATCAGTGGAGATCAGCGGCATCAGTAGAGCATCGCGATGAGTAGGGAAGCAGAACTCAAGCAGCAACTCCATTCCTGCAACATGTCCCGAGTTCCATCTGCAAGACCAAGAAGATGCAGAAGGGACTGCAGTAATTATCATGGTGAAGGAAAACCCAGGAGGGAAAGGCTGCTTTCACCGTGCCAGTGTGATTCTGCAAATAACGCCCCCCCAGTAGTCCATGGATCTTCCACATGCAGCCAGCTCTTCCAATTTTCTGATCGAAATCCAAGAGCTCTTGCTGACGTCAACGTGGTGTTAATGTGGATGGCAACGTGAACTTTCACCATCTATTGCCCAGCAGAAGAGGCCAACAGTGGCCGCTCAAGGTGTCCAGCGACCACTGACACTGCGATGCAAAAGCTACTGCTGATGCTGTGATAAGAACAGCAGCTGTACACAAATCAAGCCCAAGAGTGCGTGTCACAATAACAGGATCGAGTTTGGATGCTCCTTCACACATGCCCTTCTTTCGCATGGACCTGGAGACTGCAGGAGTCCAAGCTACCCATGCAGGTAAGCATCATTTGGTTCAGCTAGGAGGCTGGTGAAGCTGAGCTGTGGAGGATGGAGCTGAGAAACTGTGCCAGTATTGGCCACATTGCAGTATGCGCAGGATTACTGTCAAGACATGTGGCTTGGCATGTGTCATGCACAACCACCAATGGGGCTGGGACAGCTGTTGAGGACCCACCTCCTCAGCTGCCAGCAGCAGCAGCACAGGCAATGCTTTTGGTATGTTGTTGTGCACTTGTCCGCAAAGAATGTAGACACAGCGATATTCAGCAATGAGTACTCAGTACCAAACCTATTGAGAAATGGAATATGATGTGTTCAGATTGATGAATGTGTTTTTGCACTCTGTGTTTGCCACGAACAGCGGCTGAGAGCAGTTTGAGCCTGCTCATTCAAGTGGCATTCGCAGATCTTGATTTCCATCGCTTTTGCAACTCTGCAGGCTCTGATGTGGAGGACGAAAGGCACTCAGGCTCGAGGTCTAGAACGCAGCGGGTAACAGCTTGAACGTGCAGGCTGCTTGGTGCGGAGGCCAGGCATGTGTACGAGGCAGCGGTGAAGGTTGTGGTCCCTGAGAGAGTTTGACACTTGCCATGTTGTGTGAGGAGCACCAATGGAGTGTGCATAGGATTGCAGTGCAAGGTGTCGACCTGCAGCAGTTGCACCGAAATGCTGTAGTTATCATGCCTGTCAGTGTGAGTCATGGGGTCCTTGGAGGAACCAGTAATTGGTTGCGGCATTGGACGAAGAGGCACCTTCATCCCGCCACCCATCCGGTCGGGCAGGACACCCTGTGGGCGACAGGGTTGGCTGTGCAATCAAGGTTGCGGTTTTCTTGGCTGCTTGAAATTTCCTTAATAAGTATGGCACTGGAGGCGCAATTGACAAGGACATCAACTGGGACGCCGCAAATAGCAATGCAAACTCCTGGAGTGTGGGATAGGGTGGGCATTTCTGGCTACCTACCAGTGGATGGGGCCATTGGGAACGGGCACTGCAAGACAGCACTATTGTGTATATGAACGGCAAATGTTTAGTAGCTTGACTTCTTGAATTTGCGCCAGCTCCTCTAGCTGCGAACTGCAGAATGAATTGCAACTGTGCTTGATAAGAATTGCATGTATTCTGGCCTTTCGGTTTCGCCCCGCTCTCCCTCCCAAGTATAGTGTTATGGAACTAAGAACAATTCTTAACTAGCAGGGGGACACGCCTTTCTGGCTGGAAACTTCAGTCTGGTGAACTCCACTTCAAGGTTCTTTGAGTTGTCTGGCCCCCCTCTCGCCACGGGTCCTGTCGATGGCAAGGCAGATTACATCCAGCAGGACGTCGGGTGCAAACCACTGGATGGGAGCAGCCGATGTCGACTTGGAGAGCACTGCCGCGACGGCGGTTGATTGCATGTCGATTACGTTCAGTTGCATGCGCCACGTTTGTTCCACAGTGTTCAGAGTTATCCGCAAGATCCTCGCGATGCCTTGTGCGCGCGATCTGTGCCGTCTTGTGTGTACCGTCCCTGTGCTGCTGGCGGCAATCTGCTGCAAGCCGGCGCCATGCCATTGCATAGTTCATGTTATATAGCTCATGTTCATAGTTTGCCTGCATACTATGTAGTGTGTGTACGCAACGCTCTTCTCCACGACACTCGGCGGTGGTAGACCCAGTGCCGGTTGCCGTCGGCTTGCCGCCGGCGTCCACACCCCGAACCCTTGCTGGATGAGAGGGCGCTCAGGCGGATTGGGATGCCCTCGGATAGCTGTCATGGCGGAGGGGTTGCCACACCGTTGATGGAAGCCTCGTTCCGCGAATAGTTCACGCACAGCACCACTGTCCATTCACAGCACCCGACACGACACTACCGCAGTACATGGTAGTACATGGCAGTACCTGACATGGCACACACACCTCCCACACAGTTCGCAGCACTACAACGAACAACAGTCAGGTACTGCCGTGTATGTACTGCCCCCGACGCCCCTCCTCAAACGCTCTCGGCAGCACTACAAACCCCCACGTTACCTCGCCCACCGATCGTATATGTTGCCGACATCCAACGTTCATCGGCAAGTGCAACTCGGCTTGGCCCCTTGTGCCTTAAGTTGCCTCCGCACTGCCCACCGGCGCCAACGGCCCTGATAGGCGAATCTACGCCCGGCGACGGGAGCGCGACGCTTCACGATGGAAGAGGACGTGAAGGCGGCGCTGGGGCTGGACTGCGCGACTTACACCGCGTATCGCGAGGTGGGGCACTCGGGTGCATTCCCGTCCGCGGACTCTGCTCGCTTTCAGAAAATCGACCAGCATTGCGATCGGAAACACCCTTCGTTGATCAAGTTGCCACATTGGCCGGGACGGCGGCCAGTGGAGGCATTGATCTCCAATTCCAACGCGTTGGGCGTGTCGGGCCGCGTCCAAAAATGGGGAACGGGACGTCTTCCGATCCGTTGATTCGAAAACAGCCGTTGGAATTCGATGGGCAGGCAAGAAAGCGGTATGGTATGGGGTGAGACTTGTCGAGGCGGCTGTCAATCGCCAAACCCAGCGGAATCGACGGGCTGGAAACTCTTTCGGAATATGAGTTTGGAGAATGGGTGGCCTCCCGATCCGTTTGGGTCAAGAACAACCGCTGGATTTCGATGAGCTGACCGGGACGCGGTCTAACATGAGGTGAACTTCCCAGAGGAGCCTTCAATCGCCAATCCCAACGCAGTCCACAGAATGGAACCTGGTGCAAAAAATGGTGCTGAAAAAAGTGTCGCCTCCCGATCAGTCTGGGTTGAGAACAGTTGCTGGGATCCGACAGGCGGGCAGTGACACGGTCTAGCATGAGGTGAAATTTGTCCAAGGGAGCCGTCAATCGCCAGTTCCAGCAGAATCGACAGGCTGGAACCTGGCTCAGTACATTGGTTCTGGGGAAGGATCTTCTTCCTATGCTTTCCTGGCGTTGGAGTTCCACACACAGTTGTTGGATCGATGGATGGGCAGGGTTGTTGTCTGATCGACGGCGGTGCTGGCCAAGGAGTCGTCGATCGCCAATCCCAGTGCTGTGGATGGGCTGGAGCAGGGTCACATGGTGGAGGATGGATTCCCCATTGATCTGTACCTGTGGTCAGCAGCAGTGTATCAGTTTGCTCGATTTGAACGGATGGGCACACTTGTCTGCAAGTATCTGGGCGTTGTTGTCATCGCTCTGGTGCCGAATGACCCGATCTCCCCCCTCTTGGTCAGTACTTGGCCATGCTTTTGTCAACACCCCCTTTTGCACGCCTCTGCTTGTGAGGACGTTACCAACAACAAAGCAGCAAGAAAGCCCCGCTCCACACCCACCCTCAGAGGCTCTATATCATCTCTTCACAGCAGGGAAAAGAGCCTCACACACACTTGCATAGGAGGGGGCGCCCTTTTTACGGCCCGCTCCTCTTTCTCTTTTGTAGCAAATCTTCCCCCCCCACCCCCACGTGCCCCCTCTCGCTTCGCCAGCCACTCCATACCCTACACCGTCCCACCCACGCTGCACACAGCACACCACGCACCTCCTATCCGACTGCATCCTTTCCCGCTGCTCTTTCTTCTTCATGCCGCACTTGGAGAGTTCTGAGTCACGTTCATTCGCTGTCTTTCCCTTCGCTTACTGCTGGATTCCATGTTCTTGTTGTGTTCCCCGCTTGCCAAATTCAAAACTGAAACTTGGTTGAAGCTGTGTCACTGTGCATCCACAGGTTCGAGTGATGACGAAGAAGGGCGCGGGCAAGTTTCTAAAGTTCTTCCTGATCGACGACAAGGAAAGAGAGGTGCTGGCGGCAACAGCCGAAGACCAGGGCGATGCACACTACCAGTACAAAAACGCGAAGGGCTTTAATCAGCACGGCAAACTGGAGTCGCAAAAGAGAAGGGAGTTGATAATGTGGTAAGGGTTAGTACGCATGAACTATTACAGATCTGTTTGTTCAAGGGAAATAGTGAGAAAGTCTGAACAGAAACAGAAAGGAAGATGATTCATGTGAAGAGATAGGAAAACCTGAACAGATGGGTGCTGGGCGAGCTGCTTTGTGCAACAGTTTCTTGGGGGATGATGCTTCAGAAGACTAATGTGTAGTTTTCACAGCTGGGCCTATCTGCATGCGATGGGCACCTTTTGGTCGGCACTGTGTGCACATTACGATTGCTGGTATGTGGCGGCACCTGAGCGCTGTTATTGTGTCGCTTGGGACGTCCAGGCTGGAGAAGATCATTCGAAGATCTCAGGCTCAAGTCCACAGCAAGCAGCAGGCAGGTGTAGTGAAGATGCTGTCCACAGGAACCCACCTGGAGGGCCTCTACTTTGTCGACCAGAGGTGAGAATTATCAGTACTTGCTGGAGTAGAAAGGATCGTACTGTGAAAATACCCCCCCCAACACTCAATTTCCTTGTTTGCCAAGAGACTTCCTCTGAGGATCTCTTGCTTTCAGTGGCCATGCCACAATCTTGGAGGGCAACAGAAATAGCTCACTATGGAAAAATGGCAGAATGCCACTGGCACACTTTCTGCCAAACATCCTCTTGATGCAGTGCTTTATCAGTACATGTAGCCGCACATTCGGCCAGTATTTTGGCTGTACAAGTAATTGCAGTCTTGCAGTATGGTCTGCAGCACGTTTCCCCAGTACTTGAGCAGTACGCTCAGCAGAAGATTTGACCAGTCCTGTAGCAGAAAAGCAGTGGCACATAACCTAGTACTTTGTTCTGTTCCGGCAGACGTCAACCAAGCACACTCTGTGGACCACATTTTCGGAGCATATTTGGGCTGAAACCTAGGTGTTTCAGGTGAATAATTTATTCATGATATTATCTGTGCAAAATCAATGAATGTGCATATTTTCGATCTTGCACCCATGAGCTCTTATTTATTGATTGTGTTGATTTGCTTGTGCCCAGGCAGGAGCGTGTTCAGTGCACCGATGGCCGCAAGTCCAACAGGTTTTTTCTCATTGATCAGTATGGGAAAGAGCACTTGGCGGTGGTGGGCGAGGAGAGCCATGCCAGGGATGGACATTACCAATACGCCGCGGTGAGGCCAGTTGCATGAAGTACTGCACTAAAGATGTTGTAGCCCAGGTGCGTCAGGTGGTGTGCTCTGATCGGCCCTGGCTCACACTGTTGACTTGAAATTTGGAATGTGTTTTCACTCAATCGGCCTTGGGCTAACGTTTTATGCATGCTTTGCTTGTGGTTGATATTAAGCATGGATGTGTAGATTGAATTGACCAGGATTGAAGCTTGCTGTACACAGAAGGCCCAGATTTCTTGACTGATTGGGCCTGAGGTAACAACCAAGCGTCTTGCTCCTTACTATGGATCGACCTGCAAATTAGTGTAGTGAGCGTGGACATTTGCTGTTTGGCCGTAATTGCATTCGAATTATCAGCACATCGTTTGTTGCGCTAATCAGCAACAGTTCTGAAACCTGCAGGTAGAGCCCTTTGCCTCTGCCTGCAGCCTGACCTGCCGAAACGTGTCCCGCGTCTACAACTGGCTCGAGCAGTGGCTGACACACGATGCCCTCACAGCCACGGAGCACGAGCAGAAGGAACTATTGACCGATCAACCCAATGGGGACCAGAGGGCCCGGCCACGCTTTGTGGTGCTGGATGTGGTGGAGCCCAAGGTTCTGGAGCTTTCAAGGCTCTCAGGGACTAGAAAAAGGTGTGTTGAGGTGAAACTTTGCAAAGGAAACAGGTATAGAAGATGAACCGGGCATGTGAGTGCAAAAACGGATAGAGGATAAAAGAGAAAGGGGGGTGGATGAAGGGTGAACTGGCTTGCAGGCGTTGGGCCTTGTTGGGGCTGGCAGACTTAGAAAAGGTGTGTTTAAGAGACAATCTTGCTAAGAATTTGCTTGCATGTTTTGAATCAGTCAACAGATTTGCGCACGTACACAAGGAGGCAGGTGCATGCTCCCCTTGTCGCAAAGCAGCTTTCGCTGTCTACTCGTGCGCAACCCAATTCCCTGTTGTCATAGTGCTGTATGTCCACAGGCGATGGCTCACAATTCACAAGCTCATGCTGCCCCTTCTCTGCCCCTTTTTGCTCGTGTGTAAGCTGACATGGGTGGTCCTCAATATGAACAGCACGTGCGAATGAAAATGGTGGCTCTCGAACTACTTATCACCGTTGCTGCGCAGTGTGTGTGCAGCATTGTTGAGAGTAAGGCTGTGCTGGAATTTTCTATTGAGAGGGTTGACAGGAGGTGCTCATCTCAAAAAACATGTGTGTCATCGTCCACAGCATGGCCAAGATTTTTCGCAGCAGGCCTTGTTCAGAGGGGTTTGCGTGTGGTGTAGCTGCACTATGCATCTGCCCAACATGCTGCAAAGATGATCCCTTTGTACCATACACTCAGGGGAACTGTCCCTTGTGGTGGACTTATTTGACCACTGCACTGATGACAGGTAACTCCAAACAGCAACCTTCTGTTGTACAATTTGACTCAGGTTTAGCACATTGTTGATAGCCAAACTTTTGCTAATCAAGCATTGATTGCCAGCATAGGCTGTCCAGCGCTGCAGAGGAATGCTACAGAAAGAGGATGCGACTGTTGGCCTCAGAGGAGGTAGCTGCTGCTGAACACTTCCAGGCACGCTGGCTACAGGAGAGACAGATGACCATGGTTGCTGAAGCTAAGGACCGCAGGGCTGCTGCACTGACGTCTCTCGCATGGCTCAAGGAGGCACCCACCAAAGAGCAGGTCAGCATGTGCATGGTGCCTGCAGTTGCTAGATTTCATCGCGCGATAATAAACTGTTCGGTTATTAACTCTGCAGACGTTGCATAGTGTGCATATTTGCACTTAACAAACCGTCTTCAAACTTCCAAACTTGCAAGCTTGTGGAATTTGTCCAATGGACAGCATTGACACGAGCACATTGTACATGGCAGCAGGGCTGGTGCACTGCCATCTTTTGCGGGGCTCAAGGAGGCACCCTTTGAAGAGGAGGTCAGCACACACGTCATGTTTGCTGGCCACCAACAAGGTTAAATGCCTGAATTTGGGACATTAAATGATTCTTGTGTATTATGGCTGGTGGCAATGGACACGATTTATTTCAAGTGCAGATTTGACAGTATTGACTAGTCCCAGAAAACAATGCCTGGATGATGGTGTGGTTAACAACAGCACTGTGTTGCTGCCATCTTATGTGTCGTTGCCCATGTACTTTGCCATGACGCACATTGTTAGATGCACTGGGGATGCTTGTTGCAGTGCTGTGGACACGAATTGCACTATACTGTGCTGCATTATGTTGCATTGTTGTGCACCGGCACCAAATGATGCAACAGTGTGGTTGCACTTCGTAGAGGCATACTGTGCTTTGCAAGTCAGGTGTACTGCTGTGCATGCCATCCAGGTCAGCACTGTGGAGTATTGGCACTGCATATTGAGGGAGATGGCAGAGGCAGGTCAAGGAGGAACTGAAGAGAATCCGCCACGCCAGGAGGGCAAGGCCCAGGTGGGAGCCTCATGAAAGCCCTAAGATGTCTCCTTGACGATGATTGAGTTTCCTTTAGTTCAGGTATCCTCGCAGTCTAGTTCACTTCGGATTAATTCAGCATGTTTAAAGACTGACGTGTGGATGGCTGGCATGCCAAGAGCAACTTTCCTCACTTTTCAATTGTGCACCTTTCTAAACAAGGACATG